ATGGCGTGTTTTGGAGTATCTGCTTACTTAAAAGCAGATGTTGTTTAAGAAGTACGTTGCTAAGTGTGATCAGTATTGAGGGTGAGCTTTGGAAAAGGCAGCTGTCTTCTCTTCTTTACCAGGAGGGATGACTCTCCCTGGGGCTCCCAGGACCCTGTGGGCTGTGTCCTTGTCCTTGGGTTCTTATGTCTTCCTTGAGAATTGGTTGACCTAGCTAAGAGTCGACAATGTATGTATGTGCACGGGAAGGGGTCCATGGAGAGAGGCAGCGCTCGAGGAAGAGAGAAGTTCATAGCCTCGCCTCCCTGCCTCCCCTGCAGGGCCACTCCTGGCTAGAATGACGAGGGGTTTGGTGGGAAACAAGGTGGATGGCTTGTAATGACTGGGGCATCTCCTCCTTGGCACTGCACTGTATTTTCATCCAGGAGGTAGGAGCAAGGCTTCCTTATTGTCTTAAACCTCAGGCCAGCCCTCGTTAAACAACTGACCATTCCCAGGAGATGCGGACAGCCCCCTCTTCTCTTCCTGCCATCACTTTGCCCCATTCTCTTCCTATCACTTATCCTTCTCTCTGGAAGTCACTGTTTTTTGCTTCTATGTTAATTATCTGCCTCCTCCTAGAGTAGAAAGTAAAACCCATGAGGGCAGGACCGTGTGGCCAACATGACAGGAGTTCAAGCCTTTGCATGAGCAGATGAATGGCAAGTTCTGGCAAGCCACAAAGAATCGCTTCTCTTCCAACCGCATCTGTGGGTAGTGTCTTCTTAAGGGACTCATGCAGCGAAACAAGAATGACCCCAGTGCCCTTCCCCACTGTGACGTGTAGGGTGACTCGGTGGAGACAGGGCGGGGGGAAGACACCTCAGGGGAGTGCCGACACTCACTCATGCTGGGACCTCCCTGTCGAGAAAAGATGACTGTGTCACAATATGGACAAAGAACGGTATGTACTAATGCCACCATGTGCTGAGATGAAAGTCATGGGAAGACCCAGCCAGACCTGACAGGGCTGCAGGTCCCAGCCCTGGCTCCTCGTCTTATCTCCCAAGAGACTGGGATCAGCCCAGCTTCCTGAGCTGCTGATGCTACTGGACCATCTGGGAGAAGAAGCAAAATAAGATGGAGTAACTCCATGGGCAGTAAGAGTCACATGGAGACCTTACAAGGCAAAAGGGTCAATTCTCCATTATGTGCTTTTCTTAATATGACAAATGGGAATGGACATCCTCACACAAAATTCCTGAGGACGAAAGCCTATACAGAAGATTCTGCCTGATGCTGAAATGTGGCTGAGAAAGAGTAATGTATCTGTGAGAAGGAAGAGTGCTCAAAGATGTCAAGGTCACGGGGGTAACTACTGAATTCCTGGGGGTCAAATTCAGAGTTGGTGGGATTTGCTGATAAGTCCAGGTTTCTGAGTTTCAGATGCTCCATGAAGGACTGAGATAAACATCTAGTCAAATGCAGCATGAGATGTCCACCCAAACTCAAGATGGGGAAGGACCAGAAACACTTGGGAGAAACCAAGGCTTCCTAAGAGGTGTCTACTTCCCACACAGGAAGGACACTGACTATGGAGACTAACAGCCCTCCGACGTGCCTGAGGGGTCCCCAGACTTCCACACTGAGTGTGAGCAGGCTGCAACCGAGGAGGAAGATGCGGTGGGCACATGGCCCGGCTTTGCCCTGGATGCTGCTGGAATCCGAGCCCAGTGGGGAATGACCAGGAAGCCTTCCCGGCTGAGCCTGGAGCCCCTTCCCCTCAGCACTCAGAGCTTGTCAACAAAAGTAATTACACCCATTATTTCAACCAGATAAAAATGACAAATGCACAAAGATTAGAAGTAATTAAACCTAGAAACAGGCTGGACTGAACAGCAGAGTGCCCAACGCCCAGCCTAATTGTTCAGAAAGTTTTAACGGTAGACGATGGGCAGTGGTCTGTGTGTGGCAGGGGCCACAACCACGGATTTCAGTCACTGAAGGGATGAGATGGAGGTGGACAAAAACTGGGGGACTTACCAAACTATAATCTCTTCCTCTGAGTACTTCTGTTGAGGGACAAAAAAATCTACAGCAAATGTGAGGACCCAGCAGATGGAGGGAGGCTGAGGAGAGCAGAGGCCAAAGCAGAGCGTGGCCCCAGGCTACGGACAGACGGCCCGGACACAGCCTCCACATGGACACACAGAACACCCGGACCTGCGTGCCTAGGGCCTCACTCCGGAAACGCCTGCCCAGTCTCACCTTATAGACGTTCTCACGGGCAGAACTGAATTCCTAAGCCTTCTCGCTTTCCGTTATCATCCCCTTGTACAGAGATGATGCTTCCACGTTTCCAGGTGACCATTTAAAAGCTAAAATCCCTACACACACTCCCTCAATCATCCTGAAACAGTAGCCTTCCCCGAGGTGGATCTGCCTTGACAGATGTCAGCTCAGAGCAGACTTCCTGGTGGGGAACGTGCAAGCATGTGTGGGCCGTGCCCTGAGCGCGTGCCCAGCGGGGCTCTCTGTGTCTGGGGGGCTTAGTTATTTTAAGCTTCCTTCGAAAGCTCGGCATCACATGGGGCTCTGGAAAGAGTTCGGGTGTCGGGACGAGGTCCGAGGAAGGGGCTGAGCAGCAGTCGGACGGGAGGGGTGGACGCCAAATTGCGGCATCATCAGGAATCCCGGGTTCCTGCTGTCGGCGAGCAAATAGGCCCCCTGCCGCCACGTCCTTCTCGCTCGGGCTCCCTGGAGCTCAGGGTGTCGGGGAGCGGAGGGTAGCTTCCGTTGCCCCCGGGAGTGCGGACAGCCCTTGCCTTGCACCCACCGAGCTGTGCCCACCTGAGTCAGGAAGGCCCCCGTGCCACCTCCAAAAACCTTCAGGTAATGAGATGGATGAGCGGGGTGATGGACGGAGAGAGGTGCGCCTCCCAGCGCCATGCAGGTGAGCCCCGGGAACCTGACGACACCAGTGGCAGGCGTGTGCGGTCTCCACACGTGCCGAAGCTTTCGGGGGGAAATGACAAAACCAAAACCCAAACCAAAAGCGGACTTTCCCATGTGGCGAGCAATTCCAAACAACACAGACCTAGCACTATGGTTTCCTCCTTCCCTGGCATCACTTTGGTCTCCCAGATCCCAAGAGGCGCAGAAGCATGTTTCAAGGTGTTGTAGAGGGAGACTGAGCCCGATGGAAGAAAGGGGTCACCAACCTGGCCAGTCAGTGGGCACAAGGTTTTCTGCCCACCTGACCTTCAACCTTTCGACCTGGTCTGCAGGGCATTTCACGAGATGGGCTCCCACACCCTCCTGGTGAAATCAAAGTCACACGTGGGCCATTCATAGAAGGCAGGCCACAAGCACCTAACCTGGGATCCCTGTGAGGAGAAAACAGCGTCCGACGGAGCCTCCCATCCCTCACAGTGCCCCCTATACACAGCACGATGGGGCACCAGGGCGCCATTTTGTGGCCGGGATTGGGAGGGAACTGCCCGCCCCAGACATGGCAGCGTTTCTAATGAAGTATGTGTGGTTGGGATTCCCTGTCCCGAGGCTCCAGCCTCGAGCCCCTATTTCCACCGGGAAACCCCACTGTGGGATTCTTGACGGCAAAAACACAGATGTTGACCAACCAGCACCAGCGAGAGAGAGCATCTTTGCTACAGTCCCCACCAAGACTCAGAGCCAGGCTTGGGTTCTAGAAAGAGCAGTGACTTGTCCAGCAACGTGTGGGAGACAAGTGGGGAACACACTATAGGGCACAGCTCCCGTGGGAGCAGCCTGGATCCTTTGCACGTGGAATTATTTCTCATTCTCAAATGAACGGGGGCCCTTGTGTATTTTTGAGTTCTGTTCTGACGTACGCACACACATTATAAGGATATATTCCTTTAATTTTTGGAACTGGAAAACTTTCTTTAATTCGGTCTATTCTTGTAGGACACAAAGATGGTCAAGAATCCACCACCCACCCAAGCTGACGCTCAGCCCCGTTTGTAAGCAGCCGGCTACATAAATGTGTGCGTGGCTGTTAGGTAGTTTCTTCCAACGATTAAATGAAAAAAAAAAAAAAAAAGATCGTATTTATGTGTCTCTCTCTCTCTCTCTATATGTATGTATATAAAACCATGGCATTCTTAATTCTGGCCCAAGATAATAAAGTATACATCTAGTGCCACTCACCAAATACCAGCGAATGCAGGATGTGTCACTGAGGGGTCTGTTGGCGTGGGTCCAGGCTGTCCCCCGGGATGGATGGCAATGGGATACCAGGTCACCAGAAGGAATATGCTCACTCGTGGAACTGCATTTCCAATATATGCATATATATGCGTGTGTGTGTGTGTGTGTGTGTGTGTTCTTGTGTGTGCGGTATGTTGCCAAAGTAGAAAACACCAGTTTATTCTGCCCGTACTAAGCGTGTTAAATAAATCAGATTCTGTAACCGATAACATTTTTTTTTAAAAAGGAACATTGAAGATCTTCAAAAATTGCTACAGTACAAAAAAAGTGTGTGTGTGTGTGTCTGTGTGTATTTATATATTTATATATGTATATTAACCAGAAATAGCGACTCTATTGGAAGATTCCCACCCCCTGTTTTCGGGAAGATTTCTACGCGTGGTTCGCTTGGCTTCACCTTGGTCACCAAGTCCTTCGGGTCAGTACATGGCACATAATGGTATTATCAGCAAAGGTTCAGAATCAGTTCAAATCCCAGGCTCCAGGTGCTTCCTGCTGGCCTTTCTTCTCTGTCTCCAGCTTCTTCCTTGCTTTCCTTCTTTCTGCTCTCCAAAGACAACTCTGGCAGAAGGCAGTCCCCCATAGGCGTGGGCATTTTTATAAAAATATATTTGGCCTATAGCGTCCTGCTCTTTGAGCTCCCCACCGGCAAACTGAAGCGGTCGGTATGGGGACCCTCCCCATAGAGAGTTTAGTTTTTAGGTTTTGTGTGTATGTGTGTGTGTGTGTGTGTGTGTTAATTTTTTTTAAATTTTATTTATTTATTTTTTTTACAGGTTCACCAACGGAATCCTGTGTGGAAAGAAAACAAGAAGAGATTAAATAGCAGGGAGCCAAGGGCAGGATGAGTCTGTATAGCCCCTCTGAGCCTTGCTGGCTTGCAGACACCGGGGTCTCCTGCCCTGGGCCCCGGGGATTGGAGCACATGCTAGGAGTCCCAGGGACCTCGTGCTAATCACAGTACTTGATGGTGGAGCTGTTGCTTCTGCCCGCAACAGGAGTGGGTCTGGGCGTCCTAAGAGGGGCTGGGACCACCCCTGCGTTAACTACGAGGGGGCCGTGCTCCGCAAGCCTGCAAGTGACTGCATGCACCCAGTGCCAGGCTGACCCCCTTTTCAGCTCCTACCCACCAGGAGCAGATGCCGCCCGCCCCATTCCTGGATGGCGGGAAGCAATGGGGTCCATTTCAGCCCACTGCTCAGCTGGAGGCTCACTGAGGCTGGGACTTGGGGAGATTAACCGGTTGCATCAGAAAAACTGACCCCTGGGTCTCCCCAAGACGTGATCTTGCTGAAGAAAGAAAGAAGGCGAGTGCTTGCAAGCCAAGTCAGCTGACTGCAAAGAAGGGCAGCTCTTCCCAACCTGGGCATACCTAGTCTCAGAAAGTAGGAACCCCAGAGTCTTCCCGCCTCAGTGACAGACCCCAGAGGTCAGCATCTCCCAGAGAGTCAGAGACCTGCGGCTGTTCTGGGCATGGCCAGGGGCGTTGGAACACGCCATGGCTCAGCCTGGAGGCACTTCTGCTGTAAGGATGGGGCACTATTTCTCTCTGCTGTCACTTGGAGCTCCCCCCCCCAGCTCACAACTACAGGAAACGAGGACCCTCAGACAGTACAAAGGGGGAGGACGCTGCACACTCATCTATGCCGCTGAGACAACTAGACGGGGGACAGTAATTCCAAAATAAAGCCCAGAGGCCGTTGGCTGGAGCTCTGGCAAGTCCGCGGGGGTTCCCGGCCCCGCAGGACCGGCCTTGTCCTAGTCACCTGCTGAGCACTTCAGAAACACACACGCCTGCACCCACCTCCAGAGGCCCAGACGCAGGTCCTCGGGTAGGGCCTGTGGATATGGGTTTCTACAAGCTCCCCAGGAGACTCTGATCCTGTGCCAGGCCTGGGCCCATTACCTCTGTCTCAACAGCCGAGGGGGTAGGATGCTTTGTCCTGAATTGAATAAGCCTGCCGGGTGATCCTCCCCGGGACTGGGGGCTGCAGGGCGCCCAGGCTGGGGGAGGCGGGAGGCTGCAGGCCAGCATCCTGCTCGGCACCGTCTGCACCAGGAGCTTCAGCACGGACATTCTCCTCCACTTGGGTTGGGGGTGAGGGAGCTCGTTTCCCCTCCGGGAGCCCTCCTGGTCTGGACAACAAGGCAGGGCCCCTGGCTGCCGCCTCACCTTGCCTTCTACCTCTGTATGACACGTTTGAGCAACCCTAGGAGGCCTAAAACGGAACGTCTACTCATCTCCCGAGGGACTGCATGCTCTGCTGTGGGCAGGGTGTCATCTCGTGTAAAGAAATAGGACATCTGGTCAGGTGGGTGCCGGACCACCCTCGGCAGCTTCACTCCAACGGTGCCCTGCCCCTGCTCACCTCCACTTTCTAGGATGGGGTGGGGGTGCTTTAAAAAACGAAGCCATTAAAGAGGAGAGTAATGTCCCTCCTGTATGTCTGCCCTCATTCTAATTTTTGGAAAGCTAAAAAATGTGGAGACAAATGCTCCATGACTCCACTCACAGGAGGAGTCAAGTGCAGAAAGCCTGAGAGGAGAAGGGGGCTCCAGGGGCTGGGGGAGGGGGTCGGGGGGGTCGGTGTTTCATGGGGGCAGAGTTCTAGTTTGGGATGATGCGGAGGTTCTGGAGACAGGTGGTGGTGAGGGATGCACAACGTTGTCGATGTGCCTGATGCCACAGAACTGGAAATGGTCCATTCTGTGTTAGGTACATGTTACCGCAATTTTAAAAGTTAAAAAATACACACCAAAAAAACATGGGGACACGAAAGCCTGTGCCTGGTGATCGCGGGCCCAGGTCCGGCGGCCTGGGACCCTCTCTGGTTTGAGCAGCGCCCCCTCCTCGCTGGCATGAGGGTCCTGGGTTGGAGCACCTGTCAGACGGCTGTCCCCTCACGAGGGGAGGTTTCCTGCGAGGACCGCTGCAGGGCTACCTTCAGGTCCTTTATTCTGACGGTAACCAGACCGATGGAGGTGACAGGTGCGGCCTCGTCCCTTCCCTCACGCCCGCCGTCGCGTGGGGGGTCTTCCGTATGGAGTTTATGCGGCCACTGTCCCACCTCACGTCTTCAGTGCTTCCGACCCCGGACAAGGTCCTGCCTCCTCGTTCCATGTCCTTCGAGTGCCTGCAGACGGTCACCTCCCTGGGGAGGCCTTCCTGGACAGCCCCTCCTCTCCTAAATGCGACCTCTAGTTCATCTTTGTCTATTCGAGCTCGCTGTTGTGGGGCTTTGCAGGTAAGGGCAAGCCACGCGGGCTCTCCTGAGTGTGTGCACGCCACGAGTCGTTGCAGGTGTTACGGGGTGCCTGCTGGGTCCACCGGGGCTCCAGCTCTGTGCCTGGCCCGGAGTGGACCATCAGTCCTGGACGCAGCTCAGGGAAGAGGCATGTGTGGGAGTAGCCTCGTCCTCGGCCCCCGAGACTCATGACCTTCAGGCGCTGTGTGCAGGTGGGTTCTGACTACTGCATCCGAGGACAGACGGAGCGGCCCTTGCGCTGCTGGGGATGGAGCCTCTTCCAAACCTACCGGCGTCTGTCTCAGGACGAGAGAGGCAGAGAGAGGGGCAGAGAGAGGGCTCCACTCTGTGCCCTGCATTCCATCTGAACAATAGTGCTGGCTTCCTGCAGAGGTGGGTGGGTTCCCTGCGAGGGTCTCCGGCAAGGGTGGCATCACCCAGTCAGGCCGGGAGCAGGGGCGTGACCTTCCACGCCCGCCCCACGTTCCTGCTGCTGGCACTCAGCTCACGGGAGGGCTTCGGCTTTCTGTTCCCAAGGCTCGGTGTATGACCCTCTCAGCTGGGCACTAACCCTGAGAGGGACCTGAGAGGGCCGTGCATCCCAGGCCAATGGGAAAGACAGCCAAGAAGCACGCCCCTCCACGTCCTGGCTGGAGACACATGTCAAGGGCACCCACACCCACACCCACGAGGGTTCCCGGCCAGAAAGGGAAGCAGCGTGCTGCAGAGTGATCTGAGAGACTGGGACCTGGGATGAATTCTGACTTTGGAGAAACTAGTGCTCCCTGCTGCCTGGAAGGAGATCCTGGGTTTTGCCTGGCCCCGCCAGCAGCAGACCACACGCTGGGTCCCAGGCTCAGAGATCAGTGTCTGCTTTTGCAAAACAAAGAACACACCGTGGCAAGAGCACCCAGTGCCAGGGGCTGCTAGTCAGTTTCTCCACTGCTGCGTCCTGAAAGGGGTGCTTTGCCGCCAGGTTTGTCTTGCTGCTGGTGCTCGGCTGAGACAGACCAGTTTGCAGCACGGTCTGCACGTTGCTTTGAAAACAGTGTTCCTCTGAATTGCAAAAGCTGGGTATTCTGTTAATGTATATATATATTTTTTTTTTTTAGAACAAAGCAGGAAGGCTCAGGTGCATATCTCGGCTTTTATTAGTTATGTCTTCAGTGTGTTTTTGAAAATAATAATAACACATGATTTATTTCTTACTGGCTTCAGATGCGAGAACTTTTATTACTTTTCGGGCTCAGTTGGGAATAAAGTGGCCTTGGCAAATGCAAAGATCTGAACACTAATGAGGTTTTCTGAAGTTTACCTGTTATGTGAAAAATGACAGGAAATTAGCCCGAGAGCCAAGGGCGGGCGTGTGTCCTTGGCCCCTTTCCTCGGTGGGCGGGAAGGTCAGGACAACTGGGTGCCACTGTGGAGGTGGTCTGAGGCAGGAATTTGCCAGAATCGACTACAGAGGCCGAATCAGGGCGACAGAGTGAACATCTGCCCAGACGGGGGTGCCTGAGTCCGGGACAACCCGCCCGCAGGGCAGCGCACTTGGCCACTTTCGGGTCCCACGTGTGCGTGTGGGTCAGCGCGAGCGGACAAGACGGTGTGGTAACAAACTGCTCTGTCATCATGACAAACGCATTCGGAGGGGCTCAGCAACTACGCAGGAGATAAGTATCTCCGCCGGCTCCTAAACCTTAATTAAATATTTTAGTATTAACTGCTATTTATTTAAGGGACAATAAGTACCTTAGTAAATCTGAGCGATCTTCCTGGCCATTCTCTGCTCGATGCTCACGTCCAGGCATTAACTGCAAGAATCAGGGAGACTTAGAATCCGAATGCTTTCCTCCCAGTGAGTGATAACCGGTCTGTCCGACACGTGGTGAAGGAATCTTTAAGCATTGATCAAAGGCTAACAAGACTGTTTGTGGAGCCCTCCTGGTCTGCGTCTGCCACCAGCTGTGGCTGCTTCATGTGGCCGGAATCAGAGGAGGTCCTGTCTCGGCTCTTCTCACCTCCCCGAACGGCCCGCCTGGGGTCCACGGTGAGCGGGTCAAGCTCTTCGGACACAGATGTGTCCCTTCCTGCGAATGGAGGTGGTCCTGAGACAGTTCCTAGGACGACCTGGCAGGTGGGGGTCCAGACAGCCTGAGAGGAACGTGGTCCAGGCAGGGCCCACCTGGGAGTGGCAGACGGGGTGAGCCCACCAACAGCTTGCGGGGGTCCTTTGATGCCTGAGTTGCTAGAAGAGAGAACTGAGTCTGAAAAGCTTTCTGGAGCACAGGAATCCATAAAAGCACTTTTCTACCATTTTTTTTTTTTTAAAGATTTTATTCATTTATTCATGAGAGACAGAGAGAGAGAGAGGCAGAGGGAGAAGCAGGCTCCCAAGGAGCAGGGAGCCCGATGCGGGACTCGATCCCAGGACCCTGGGATCATGACCTGAGCCGAAGGCAGACGCTCAACCATCTGAGCCACCCAGGTGCCCGACCTTTTTTTTTTTTTATGTCAGGGCTGTGACTCCTGGTTCCAATGTGGGTGAGGAGGCTGGTGGCTCAGGCTGTTGGGCGCTCAGGAGCTGATCTCCCGTCTGTAGAACTGAGCTGAATGTCCCAGGATGCCAGTTTGCTGGGAAAGCCCACCTCCAGCTGCACCAACTCTCCTCCCACTTGGGGCCGGGCTGGGGGTGGCACAGGGGACAGAGGGATAGCGCGGAGGGCTGCAACCGAGAGAGAGCCAGGCCGCCTTGGGCTGATCCGCCCCACCACGAGCAACCTGACTGACCCTAGGCAAGTCACGTAACTGCTTCGTTCTTCAGTTTCCTCTCTGTAAAGTGGCATTTCTGGGAGGACAGTATGAGTCCCTAGATGTCAAGAGTGCTCCCTAAGTGTCCCCCTGAAAGTCCACCTCAGGGAACCTGCCGCCCAGCCCCTGCTGGTGGGGGGGAGCTCCCTGGAGTGAAGAGCACCTCCAGGCTGTGAGCCTGCAGCTCTTGAAGGAAGGGAGCAGAACCCTTGACATGCAGGGCCAGATCAATGTCTTATGTTTTTATGCATTTTTAAAATCCTAACAGGGATACTGGTGACCACCGGGCCATCCTGCAGAGGGTTCACCAGACAGGCGGGAACTCTGCTGCTAATAAGAAGCTCCCTGTTGCTAGCCTGGTTGGAACTCCAAAGGGAGCTTTGTCCCTGGCCTTAATGAGGTGAGTCACGTTGAGGCAGACAAAGGCACCAGGTTCTGATGGATGGGCCATGCAGGCGCATCTGGCCCTTGAATGGTTGGGGACAGAGTGCACCTTACCTAACTTGCCTGCACAGTCTCAACAAAGGCCTTTTGTGGGGGTGGGGAGGAGCGCTTTCCATTCTCGTCTAATCACATTTCTTTGCCCGATAGCTACACATCATGCTAAGCAGGTCATTTTGGCTTCAGGACAGGAAGCGAGGGCTGGAGATTTGATTTGGAGCAAACACTTGATTCATGAGGGCTGGATTAGGACCGACCCATTCACTCCTATTTCTGAAAGCCGTGGGTTCCTCCAGCCCCTGGCTTCGTGCTGTGAGCCGAGCCCCCCAAGGGGCACACGGGCGCCCCCAGGAAACATCTCCCACCCACTCTGATGATGATTCCTGCCTCAGAAGGTGGGCAGAAGGAAGAAGCAAGTATTTTCAAATATCGATAACCCATCCTAGGACCTGGGTTCCCTACCCAGGGAAGGGATCTGATGTCACAGAGTATCTGTGTTTGAGAAAAAAATGAGGATCCTTAGAAAACCCAACATCAAAAAGAAAAACAAGACCAAAAAGCCCAAAGTCCGGGTTGCACCTATTGACTGTGTGGAGACAATGTGCAGTCGTGGGGGCAAAATGCACTTTCTCCCCCAGCAGCCTGAGTGTTCGGGAGACTCGGTGCAGAAGAAAGCAATTTACCGTTAGCATTAAAGTTAATATCACTGAAAGCAAACCAAATGTTCCTATTCAGCAGAGCGTGGAAAATTCATCCTGTTTTGGTGCTGGTCCCTGGTTTCAAATTAGTAGATGTCTCAACTCTTTGCTTCCTTCCTTTATCTTTTCCCTTCTTATCTCTTATTTTTATATTCCAAAATTGTGTTTTAATTCTGCTTCGAGTCCTCCTCCGCCCACCCCACCCCCCGCCCCGACGTAGAGACATCCGATGCAGGTGTGATGCCTGCCCGCACAGCCGCTGCCCTGGTCTCTGTCTGTTGAGAGGCCAGGTTTCCCTGCCTGCTGGGGCCTTCCCTGGGGCTGGGACGGCGCTGCCACTCCTGGGTGTCTGTCCCTCCCTCCACGGGGACATTTCTAACAAGTGCAGCAGAGAGACCACAAGCCCAGCCCTCCTGGCTCGCATTTGAGATGGCAACGCCATTGGAATTCCACCTGCCATGTCCAGAAGGGCTCCCAGTTGTCCCAGAGTGGAGGCGGGGGTGAGGAAGGTGAGGCAAAGAGGGGAAAAATTGATCGATGTCCAAAAAAAGAGGTACGTACCATAAAACAGACACATGGCGTCTGCCCTGCCCCCAGGAGGTAAACAAGACTTCGGCCAGTCAGCAGGAGATTTCAAACCATTTCTCAGACACAAAGGCCACAGGAATAAGATGCCGATCAGAAGAAGAGGGTCTGCAGCGATCAGAAAAACGGGCTTGCGTGCGCTCGTACAGAACACCGGACGAGCAGGCCGCCTGAGGCCTACTGCCGGAAACTGGCTTCTTGAGTCGAAAAGAACGCAGAAAGGTAATGCTCAGCTGGGACCCACTGGCCTTCGGCAGGAAGGGGGCACCTCTCCCTGTGGCCAGCTAACACTCATGTCCACCCTGGAAGGCCCTGGAGGACACAGAGCCTGAAGGAGCCGTGCACAGAAGACATTTAATTTTTAGTTTTTTAATTTGCAGGACAAGCCCAAAGCTTGGGGTCTCCCCCTCCAAGGGCAAGGATTCCACCCACTTTACTGCACATGATGGAGTGGGCAGGGCCTGACTCCTGAAATGGGTCTCCTGTCACTTGTCACCTTTGAGACCTAAGCTACCATTTCCAAAGGCCAGAGAGAGCCAACAGAGCATTGCCTTAGGCCAAAAAGCAAGAACCCATTCCACCCAATGCCTCGGAGCCAGGGCTCAGTGCGCCCACCTTGCAGCTGCACCCACCTTGCACGTGGACAGGGCAGGGCCAAAGGGGGACCAGTGGGAACAGTGATGGTCACCTGGCAACACAGCCCCCGTTCCCCAAACTGAAACACTCGTTGGCCAGCACTCATAGCCAAACCGAAACACATGCGTTCAGTGAAATGGTTTGAAAATCCTCTTGACGATTCTTTGTGAACTAGGCCTTCTGGAAGGCTGCGATGCAACCGAGGAGCTCCCCAAATGTCGCTGAGTCCAAGCAATGTGGGCTGCAAGGACAGTCCTGAGGCCCCTGCTCTCCACTCTCCTGGGCTGGGAGGGGAGCATCCCAGGGAATATCGTGGAGTCCAATGCAGAGATGCAAGAGGAGGAGCTTAAGGAAGGTCCCCCCATTCTCACGGCCAGGATGAGGACCCGTTAACTATGGGCAGCACAGCTAAACGTCACCCCGAGTCTCCTCAACCTGGGTTCTGGGAGGAACGCTTTCGGGCCCCCTGGGCATTCACAGCTACTCCTACTGCTGACGGTGGGTCCCTCGGGTCCGCCTGGTTTCCTACTCATTTCTTCCTAAGATGTTTAAGTGGTTGGAGAATTTTTTTTTTTTTTTAATTTACAAAATGATGCATATGTGCATGCTCACTTAAAAAAAAATAGCTTATTGATATTTTCATCTAATTCCGGATAAACCCTCGGAAGCTGACTCGAGGGTTTCTTAAATGTTCCCAGGGATGGTTTTAGGGTCATGTCTTCTTGGAAGGATTACCCATTAATAATAAAAAAGAGCACTGAATAACCAGGAATTTGGTATTTGATATTTTTGCAAGATGCGTCGCTGACATTTTATTGATGGGCGTTCAGAGAGACTGATGGGGAGTGTGTTGATATCAGGAGGCCCGCTGCCACAAAGCCGGCCAGGATGCCTGCTCAGCCCCCGGCACGTGCCGTCCAGGGTGGGGAGGGCCTTCTGCCCGCTCTGCAAGGGTGCGGTCCGGAAGCGAGCGGGGCTGCTGCTGGGCTCTGTCTCTGGTGGGTGAAACACCTCCTTCCGTCTACCCCGCCCCTCCCGTTTCCCCAGACCAGCTGCATGCATTTGCTCGGCCCCCCAAAGACACGTGAAGGGTGCCCCCACCCCAGGTCGACGATGCTGTGGCGGAGGGCCTGGCCCAGGCCTGAGCTTACCGGTTCCCGTTAAACGTGGATTTGTAGTCGGCCGTCGGGTGCAGCGTCTCGTCGGTGTACATGGGCGCGGATGCCCGGACACATTCGTGGGAGCACTGGAGGGTCTCATTATAGGCTGTGAATATGTCCAGGCTGCTGGGCACCCGGGCAGGGGTGAAGTCCGTCAGGTTCTGGCAGCTCTCCTCCTGCTGGTTGATCTTCCGCTGGTGGCTCTTCCGACGCGTGTTCCCGCTTTGGGCACAGCTGGAAGACAGAGGAGTCGGGGTGGGGGTGCAGCGGGCAGATGCCAAAAGCCAGCACTCAGACTACGGAGGCTTCGCCTCTGGGCATGAATTATCCGTCATTTAATATTAGATGGTAATTCCCAGCCTCTTCAGAAAGATCAACCACAATCAAACAATCAGCTCACTCTCTCTCTCTTTTTTTGTTAATAAAATTTGAATTTTATGGGCGCCTGGGTGGCTCAGTTGGTTAAGCGACTGCCTTCGGCTCAGGTCATGATCCTGGAGTCCCGGGATCGAGTCCCGCATCGGGCTCCCTGCTCAGCAGGGAGTCTGCTTCTCCCTCTGACCCTCCTCCCTCTCATGCTCTCTGTCTCTCATTCTCTCTCTCGCAAATAAATAAAAAAAAATCTTAAAAAAAAAAAAATAATAAAATAAAATAAAATTTGAATTTTAAATGTGGCCATTACTGCAGGGCAGATTATGAGATAAGTTTCTGAGCTGCGTTATCCCAGAGCTGAGGCCTCGTCTGGCCGAAGGGTGTCAGCCAGGCAGGGGTGCCGACTCGGTTTCCCCATGAAGGGATGGGTACAGGTGTGGTTGGTCTGGTGGTTCATTCTGGAAGGGACTATGTAACCATCTTTGGGGAGAATTATTAAGTGGGGAGCCCCGCGTCCTCATCCCTGCCCCTGCCCACGCTCCCAAGTTGGAAATGAACGTGGATCGTCCATTCTTCACGGGTATCAGGTCTATGGAGAGAACTGTTCTGCATGCCCCATGGATCCTGTCCTGTTCCTCTGGACCACAGAGCCTTCCCAGCGCCACCAAGGATGGACACGGGAGTCCCACCCTCGTCAGCCAAGCGATCTGGGGGAGTAGATTATCAGTGACCTCTCCCAGGCACTTCCGGCAAGTCACAAGAAGGGTAAGTGGAAGTCCCATCCCAGTGGAGGAGGGCAGCTAGGAGGAAATTTGGGGAGCCCCCAGTTTGGGGAACCAGTTTCCCTTCTCCCCCTCCCTGCTGTGCTCAGAGCCAATGCGGAAGGAAGCGGCCGTGAGGGGCAAGGGTCCGTGAGCCCATCTTCCTGTAAGTCACGGACATGCCCTATCTCATCTTTCCAGTGAGAGGAGCCCTGGTTCCTGGCGCAGAAGCCCCACCCCATAAACAAAGGTGGGAAGATAAATGCTAACCCAGGGGACCCCCCTCAAGGTCATGGAACCCCCTCATCCACTGCCTGGGTTGTCCTCCCCAGAAGAACTCTCTGAGGCTTCACTGCAAACCCAAATGTGGGAAACCAAGAGGCGACAGCCTCCTCCATCTCCTCTGGGGGCCGTCAAGATGGTCGATGGGATTTGTCCAGCCGCACATCCATGTGGTCCTGGGCTCCAGACCAGGACCAGCCCCTGCCCAAGATGCCCTGTGGTGAGCTGAGGGTCGTCCTCATCACCTGTCCCAGAAAACGCCCTGGGTCTCGGGTTTGCTGGCCTTCGGGAGGCCTCGCTGGTTTGCTGTGAGGTCTGCTTTGGGGTTGTGCCAATCCCACCCTGCCACCTTTGCTAACCCTGGAGACTGGCTTTCTCTCGCATCTCCGTTGTCTGGAGCCTCGGGAGAAGTTGCTGCCCATCAGCCCCACTTGACCTCCTGCCACCACCTGCTGGCAACAGGGGCACCGTTTGGGTGTATTGCCCTACAAGGGAGTTCGAGCTTTGATGCTAAAAGGAGACACATTTGCCGGAGGAGGGGCTGCAGGCAGATGGGGCGTCGGAGGTGTGTGTGCAGCAGGGTTACCCAGCAGTGCCCCGATTTTCCCAGGGGTGTAGCAGGTGGGTTCACCTAGCAAGGCCAACCTCAAAGTAGGCCAATTTCCAGGAGGAAATAGGCAAAAACAGGCTGCCTGGAGCAAAGCAATAACCTAGTTCAGCAGACACAGAGCGGCCACAAGAGGAAGGAAGGATTCAAATCGGTGGGCGGAGCACGGCCCCTGGACAGCCGGGGGCAGCGAGGGGTGGGCGCGAACCTGCCCAGGCTGCTGGCGTGCTGGGTGGGTGGCATCGAAAGGCACATTGAATGCAGACACAGGCTTCGGAAACCCCAACACCTGCTGCCTGAGAAACTGTCATGGAGGCTGGGCTCACTTGCATTCTGCAGAGAAAGCCACGGTCAGGGGCGCGTCCCCCAAGGGCAGTATCAGAGAGCACGGCGCCTGTGGCCGGCCAAGCTGCCGTGGGGCTGAAGGCGAGCAGACTGAAGCAAGGCCAAGAGCTGCACCCAATTCTCTGGCCCAAATGAGAAAAACAATGCCCTGGGATGCAATGTGGGACCGGGTCTGACAAGTAGGAAACCCTCTGTGCACACTTCCCGGGGGAGCCCCACAGCCCCCATGTCCAGGCCAGAGGGGCCGAGGAGCCTTACCAGTTTTTTAAGACAAGAGTTGTAATCAGAGCAGCTATGACCATGATGAGGGAGACAGTGATGGTGATAATCTGATGAACAGCCAGACCTGGAAAAGAGGAAGGGGGAGGGCAGCCATGAGACCGGGGCATGAGACAAAGGAGCCCAGGAAGGGCAGGGCCTGCTCCTGTCAACTCGGGTCTCTCCTTCCCCACGGCAGGGGCTGGGCACCAGGGCTGCGGTCACCTGGAGTCCAGGAAGGGAGGCCCCAGCCCCTGCGTCTCTTGGCTCCCCAGCTGTGACCCGGCCCACGGGCAGCTGTGTCCTTTCTTGCACCTGTCAAGCTCCTCACCTGGCCCAGGTGAGCTCAGGCTGAGGCACGCCCCCCAGGACCTGTCACTCTTCCTTTGCCTCCTCCCACCTGGGTAAGTTCTCGATTCTGAGCACAGGCCTTTGAGTGGGAGCAGGTCTGGCTTGACACAGGAGGGGCCGAGGCAGCCCAGGATTTGTTGGGAAGGTAGGGGAGAGTGAACATGGGTTGACCTCCTGGAAGACTCAGGGATTACCTGGATCACTGGGGAGTATCTTCCTCTTTCCAGAGTCCTCTCCAAGATGCTCACTGCCTGATGAGGTTCCAGGGATAAAAGACCCAGGCCTAGCGGCTGATGCTTCCCCAAAGCCCAGAAAAGGATCTGCAGTCTAGCCTCGCTGCCCTGTGTCTGCTGTGTGTGTGCATGGGGTAGGATGGTGCGGGACATAAGGAGTGGAAACAGCAAGTCAGGGACAGAAGCGGGGCAGCCTGAGCCCCACCTGAGAGCTGTCTGCTGACCCCATACAGGGATAGCAGAGGACAGGGATTCTCTCCTACACTGTCCCTCTGTCCCCACCCCCTGTACCACCTTCCACTGACCACAGATGCAGGGGATGGGCGGCAAGGCTATGTTCCTCCTGACAACACATCTGTCACATCCTTCCTGGAACACAGACACTTGGGGGCATGCCCGGCAGATGCCACTGGTCCATAAAAGCCACCTGCAAAGGCCCTGTCCTCCTCTGATCAGGAAGAACCCTACCTGAGGAGCTGGGCCATAAAGGTCCTGGGGGCTCTGCAGTGAGCCCTGCAGGGGGCAGCCCCTCGTCCCACCGAAGTGCTAATTTCCCTGTGTTCTTGCACCTGGGAGGTGTAAGCACTTGCCTCTCTCCACTCCAGGGGTCCAACTGCAGAGGCCCGCCCATCACCCCAAGGAACCCAGCGGGTCCTGGGGTGAGAACAAGACGCACGTGTGTCCCAGCATGGAGGATTTCAGAATATAAGATTTTTCTGGCGGTCTCCCAAGGACACAGTCTCGCAAACAGATGTTACCTCTCTACTGAATATGATCCTCGTGGGGGAAATTATTAATAAATGATTCAAAGTTGGCATGACCAGAAAACAAGCTTTCTTTTCCTGTTTGCCCGTCTTCCGGGCTATTTCTGTTTGTCGTGAGGGATTCCTCTCCTGAGCCCACAGGATAAGCACCACTAGGAAAACTGGAGAAGACATGAATGTAATGGAAATCCCTTCATTTATTCTTTTATCCACTGATTCAAGAACCAGTTACAGAGCACCTACTGCATGCTAAACATTGTCAGTTTTGACGAACTCAGCCACGGTGCCCCCCTTTAAGGAGCAGCTTCCCTAGTGCCCATTTTTTCACTTGATCTTAGCCAAAAGGCTGGGAAGTGATCTAGTGCCCATTTTTAAAAATGGCAGCATTCACTGCTGGTTCTGGCCAATGGCTTCACATACATCTATGCCCAAGTTGTGGCAGCTGCCATAAACCTCTAGGCCAGTTTGCCTTTTCATCTAAGACTGCCAAATCAGTTTTCCCATAGGACTGACAGCTAGTTACGCCACAGGGAACACCCTCAGTCTCATCAACAATGGAGTACCCGCCAGCCTCAGAAATCCCTAACTATTCAACAGCTTCCCCAACGCCCAACTCAGACCTCTTTGGCAGAGGAAGGGTTGGAAAGGATGGTGATGGTGATGATGGTGATCTCAGGCATGCTCAACAAGTGGTAACAATTGTCAGAGGTGCATTATCCAAATTATCCTGGTAACAACTCTCAAAGGTAAATACTATCATCATCAGTTATGGAAGTGAAAACCAAATGGACCAGTTTGTGTAAATTCCTTGGTTCGCATAGGATCTGCTGGCTCAAAGTCCATACTAAGAACAGCAGTATAATATGATTCTGAGCTCAAACTTCATTAATCTGCTTTTGCTCTGACTTTCTCTAAGCTCAGTTTTGGTCTCCTTTATTCCAAGGTAGAGGCTGGTACCTCTCCCGTCTACATTCCTGGGGGAGAGCAAGCTTCTACATCTTCTTGAGCCTCACCACCTCCTCCATGAACAGACCCCTCGGGAAGTGCTCCAGGCCCATGCCAAAAACTTCTCAGCCATTCGTTGGCAGGTCGCATCCCATTCCCCATGGCAAGAACCGAGTCTTCATTCCTTGGGCTAAACCTTCCATCTTCTAGGTCACGAGAAGCCAGCTTATGGAGGCTGGCGATGTAAAAGTACACAGTGAGTGGGTGAGCCAAGAGGACGCGGGGGTTGGTTCAACTGCTAGGTCAGGCCGAGCTGAAGGCATTGAGAGCCCCACAAGAGCAGAGTGCTGTGCCATCCATTCCCCACCACCTGTAGGACCAGGGGAGGCTCAGGGCACTGCTAGATTTTGACCTGTCATCTTGTTACTATGGGAATTCTGTGGGGTTGAATATCTGCAAACGTCCTTGGAAGGGAAGAGTTCCATGACCAGCTGCATCTTAGATGTCTGATCACCTCCCATTCCCCCCTGTGGGTGAGGATGGGAAGGCACGGATTCTCCTCCTCTGATAGATGTAAGAAACTGAGGCCTGGGGGCAGAACGGTTGGCTCAAGGGACCTCTCCCTCACTGATGACTCTGAGAATGGAAGACCAGCCCTTTGCCCGAGGGCCTCATAAGTCCCTGAGCCCCCTTAAGAAAGGGGCCTCTTCATCTTCATACCCACCCCTAGCCCCACACACAGTCTAACACAGTCCCTTACAACTGTAGCTGTGTGACATATTACATTTATAACTGAAAAGGAGAAAATAAAAACCAGGGGAACAGGGAGAAAGGCGATGATATAATCCTAAGGTTTGCCTTATTCTGGAGGCCCTTCTCCTGCCTTCAGTGTGCAACTCCTCCATAGAACTTACCAAATTAAGTTTTGGAGGAAATGATCAGTGGGTTAATAACCAGCCAAGATCATCTGCTATGCTTTCTAGAAAGACTTCTTTATGCCAGGTACCTTGCCAAGTCTTCACATGTGATCAACCGAATCCATCACCATCCTGCACTTTTGCACCTGCCTGACTGATGAGGAGCTTGATGCTGAGGAGTAAAGTGACTTTCCCATCATCATTCGGCAGAGCCAGGATGAAAGGCAATTCTCTGCTCTGGAGCCTCAGAGAAGATCAAACATCTAAAGCCAAACTAACCCATCTGTAGCTACATTCTGGTCATAAAACTAGCTAGAGGCAAACATCTGACTACTCCTCACATACTTTACTCGCAAGGCAAACAGCCTTATGCTTCAACGCCTGGCCCATGAGTTGGATGGGCCCCTGGGCTCGTGCATAAAAGAGCAATAGCTACAAGAAGATCCCATAGACCCCATGCTCATGATGGTGGAACAAGGATCAGGCCTTTTGACATGTGGCAAGAATGACACTTGTAAGAAGCAGGCTGGAAGATAGAAAATCCATAAGGATGCCTCCTCACTTATTCTCTCTGGGAGGTTGGCTACTACGAAGAGAACAGAATAGCATGTGAGAAGTGGTGTCCTGTTTCAATCATCTGCCCTGTTATTTAGTCCTCCCCAAATGCCAGGAGTCCTTTCTTCTTCATCAGTATAAATCCCTTAAGTCTTCGCGTGGATGCTGGGTAGGCAAACCTTGCCATGAAGGGCCAGAGAGTAAATATTTTAGGCTTTGTGGGCAGTATGGTCTCTGTCGCAACTTCCCCATCAGGCCGTTACAGGGCAAGAGCAGACATGGATAATACGCAAGCAAACGGGTGTGGCTATGTTCCAATAAAACTTTACAAAAACAGAGAGCAGCCAAATTTCGCTCATAGTTTATAGTTTGCTGGCCTCTAATTTACGTGAACAGCTGAGGGTGGTTTGTCTTATAAATTAAATAGAATATATATCTATTTTGAAAGATTGGTTAAAGCTGGGACTCAGCTGCAATCCTTTGGTTCTGAAGACTAGAACCTTCACGCTCCATCATCAAAGGCTTCCTGAGTTCTGAGAATTTCATTGGCCACTGCCAAGGTGATTTCAAAGACAGCCACAACGTCCACTTTAGCAAGCTGGACCGTAACAGTTAGCCATGGGCACCTTTGCCCTGCCAGGTTTGTCCATGTGAGGTTGGCTTGGGAATAGATCTTTTGTGTGACAGTTTCCTCGAGAACTCAATTAGACAGGATTCTTGATTTTTGGAAACCAAACTCCAGGGAGAATTTTATCAATTTAGTCCCTCCGGGGACCCAAAGAATTATTTCAGCCACATGTCTTTCAATTTTCTCCATCAAGGCTGAAAAGGAGCTGCATTTTGCAAAAAGACAAGGACGTTCAGATCTCAGATGTCAGAGCTACTGGTTTTCCCTGCCCCACGCAAATGGCAGGGTTCTCTGGAGGTTATCCCCCTCAGATTCTCTCCTTCCTCACTAATTTCTCCCATATTACTCACACCTTAAGTAGTGCTCCCCTCAGGCCAGGTCCCTTGTGGACATTACATACTGCAGGTAGGAACATCTGTCCCACAAATCCTACTGACCCCGGGCAAGAAAATCCTTGAACAGTGTCTACTCCAGCTGTCAGGCAGGCTGTGATCCGGTGAACGAGGGTGTCACCTGAAGGGAATGTACACTCTATACACCCGAGAAAGGGAAGAAAACACAAACCTTCTCCTCTCCATTTACAAGGTCAATATTGAATCCATCTTCAAATTCTTTGCAATTCAGACATGGTCCCAGAGTGCACAGCATGCTGTGTGGGGTTCTTGCTTCCCCTTTCTGACAGGTGTTATTGTTCC